TCATTTTTTTATTCATTATATATTACATAATATTTTTCTTTATTTATTGATATATCTGTGATACATATACACAATTATATTCAAAAACTATTTAGATATTTMTTTGGCGGCGATTTTATCTCATATGCAAGAAGTCTGCAAACGCAAAGTGATTTCYCAGACACGTTTCTAGTAGAAATCGCAGTGAAATGCGAAATAACAGCCTGATTAATAAATGCCACCTCACCAGATCAATMATTTGATGTAAAGAAATACCAAACGTCACCGTGACCTTGTCCCCCTTATTAACGACCGGTCGTAGTTCGGGGTTGTAGAACTTAAACAACCCTTTGAGAAGTCGGTCTTCGTCATCGTCAAATATCGGTTGCTGAAGTAATGCGTTTCCTAACAAGAGAGAAATTAGCATACTAATACGATACTTTGTGGTGACCAATGGGAAAACCGACCGAATGTTCGGTTTATTGAGGGTGGTCAAGRAGTTCATTGGGACTGATGGGAAGGACTATGGATTGTAGCTTGCACAACAGTTTTGTACCCCAGATYCTTTAAAGGACCACTTCCGCCCGAGAGCCTTTGCGACCTTTCGTTTTGTCTTTAAGGAAGACCTGTWTTTGAACGTTGCTTTCTCATTGGTTCAAAATTAAAGATGACGATTTTTTCGGTGTGTGAGAAATTCTCGCCAAGCGTCGGTTTAGTGGACTAGAGATTGTCGTAAATATACAGTAGTTATTTGTTACTATAAGTATATTTTCAAAGCCATCAGTTAGATCTCAGTATGACTGAGTTTTAATTATTGGAAGCAAAAAAAAAAAAAAAAATTGAGATTGAAAGCATTTTTGACTTCAAGTTGGTACCCTTTTTTTTCCTTTTTTGCCAAAGCTGACAACGTCTCAATATTAAAAAAACCCAGAATTGGTCTTTAAATGGACATTTTATAGTATAATACTGACAAAATATCGTATAATGAATGCAAAAAGAGCCAAGTATAAGTCTTTTCATGTCATTTCAGAAGACAAAGCGTGATGTTTATTAATGCTGACATATTTATATATATTAATTTCCCTTTCTGAATTTAAATTAAGAAAACATTACTATAAATCAGTTTCCTTTAAATTGAATTGAATCCAAAGTCAGTGTAAAAATTTTGAAAAGAATCTGCTCCTCTCTCTTCTAAAGAAAAACGTGAAAAGCTGATAAAGGTAATGGTTTTTCTTTTCACAATCGTCGGATTTAGCTCAAGGAAAATTCGAAGTAATAAGTATTTATCATTAAGAATACAAAAATTGATAATATTTTTTACAGTTTTGCCATAAAATACCATTCCTGAACGTTACCTTTGGAAATCAAAATTGCAAATCCAACGAAAAGTCCGCAGATTTTTGTCAACTTCATATCACCCTTCGTCATTTCTTTAATTTGCTTGATGGTTGTTCCTAAATTAAAAGTACAAGTATCATGCATTAGCCGTTGAACTACTACTTATATTCGGTACTTTATTTGATGCATGCCCTATTCTTGTTATTATCAWATAGTTAGTTAGTATAATTGGCTAGTTATGTTAATTTGAGGAGATGGGCTTTCGCGCTAAGGCATAAAGAACAAAATTCAATATGTTCAAATGATTCTCGATCCTTGGGATCGGGACGTTGAATATAGATACCAAATAACCGAGCTCTTCCTTCCACTGATAGAGTGCAAACACTTAAAGCGTGAAAAGGGACACTAAAAGCGTGAAATAGTACTGACCAATTAGTTCTAAATTGCGCAATAWAGTTTAAATTTAACAACAGCAAACAAAGGAATTCTCATGATTCAGCACTATTTAATTGCTTAAATTTTTCATGGCTTTATTGTTTGCCCTCTACATTTTATATTTTTGCATTAAGGTGCTTTACCAATTCGTTTCCAAGCAAGATAAGTTAAAATGTTACAATGCTTAATGCTTATTCATAGCAAGCTAAGGATTCTGTAATTGTACTCTACAAATACTGCTATGTTAACTACGAAGCAATAGTTACCATTACCTTGAAGATCCATGGTAAAAAGATAAAAAAAATACGTTTTAAAAAGATAGACAACTTACTGTCATGCATGACATTCTCTATCCTCCGTAGGAGTAAAAGAGGAAAAACTAGAAGGGGTTTTGTCAATATCAAAGTGCGGACACTAAAGGAAACAATTGAAAAGTCAATGTAATTCTCAGTAAGCCTTCACTTTGACTAGTGACTTATGGGTTTTGAGTTTTCCAGCAACAATTTTTGAATTTATCATCGAGACTTCAAGCTCAAGAACTTTAATTTTATGAATTTTTTTTAGCGTACACTGTAATTACATTTTTTTYAATAATAAAAACATAATCTACCTGCCTAAAACCATGACAACGACAAATTTACCTAAGAATTCTCCACGGGCAAAGTGCAATTTTTCAGTTGTGATGTATCAAGGACAGGCAATATTTTTAGATGCACAAGCTTTTCAGAACTGCTGTCAAGTATTAAGATGTCGGCGACGAGTTYTGCAGGTATAATTCAGGCGAGCAGTTTTTTTTCTAAAACGTCCCCTTGACCTTTGTAGAGAGCTGTCACGCAGGCTTTTTTGGCTTATTTACAGTGTGCAAAGCAACTAGATGTTTTTCAATTTCATAATGAGATGCCAAGAGATGAAWTCCCGGCCAAAAGAATTATTGTGGGTCGCACAACATTATGCAAACGATTGATAGAAAATGTTTGAAAGAATGAGTAAGAGAAGAATTCCA